GAGACAGCTGTGGACACAGAGAGGCACCAGTCTGTGATGGTTCTCATGCACTAAGATACACCCACAGTGTTTCAAGTGAGCCACAACAGATCAAACAGTGTAAAACCCCTTTTCCCTCCCCAGCCCGAGGGTGGAAATGATCCGTGCACAGCTCCCAGACTGTCCTGACATCCTGGCCACTGCCCATCAGGAACCACCAGATCTGCTTCTAGGGTGTCCCTTCTGCCTGGGAGGACAGTGGGTCCCCCCCCGGGTTAGAGCAAGAAAGACATCGAGTTTAAATGCTCAGCTTCTCCTCCCTACTAAAGCTTATCAAACCCCAATCGATGGCTGGAACCCAGTGCTTCCCTCTTGTCACCAGACTTGCTCCAGCTGGTCACCACCTACAAACATTAACCCGACCAGAGTCACAGCAGGATTGCTCAAAGAAACACCCCGTGTCCTGAGTCACAGCAGCACAGGGGACTCTGGTCTCTATCACCTGATAAGGACCATGGGAAGCAAAGAACAGGAGCTGCTGTCACTGCCCCAGGACACTGAGTGAGGACTGAACAACCCACAGGCATTCCCAGGGAAGGGGGAGGATTGACCTGGAAGATTAGATCTCATTTCCTGCCTCTTCCACCACAGGAGGATTCCCCACTGCCCTCTCAAAAGGGAGAGGACACCTTAATTAAAGGCTGGGAGGGCACCTGAACACTGGATTTTAACAGCAGGTCTGCAAACACCTGAGGATACAAATCAGGAGCAGGTGCTGGTGTTACTGTGAGAAACACATCCCACATGAGAGAATCCTCCTGACTGGGTCTGTTCTGTTCAATTCTAATGCCCTGATGTTTTACTTCAACAGACCTCAAGCATTTCTCTGAGTAGCACAACTATCAGGTGTAAAGAGACCTTTCCCACACAGACCTCAGCTGTACTGAAAGCACATCATCTTTGCTAGAACTCACAAATCTGACACTTATACTAAGCCATGGGAAAATTAATTAAAACCCCTATTAGCTAAACCACGTCTTTAGACTCCCAATCCAGTTGCCCACCTGGGCAGTACAGGTGTTCCAGTGGATATAAGGAATTTGAACAGCCCACCTGCAGGGATGGAAACGGGCATCTCTAAGGCAATTTGAGTTCTGTTCAAAGCCAACACCTGCTCTCCAAAGCCAGGAAAAGGCACAGAGGTGCCAGATTTTTCTCCTTGCTGTGCTGGACAATCCCAGATTTCTGAGGTAAGAACTGCTATCCCCAGCCCTGCTCCCTCACTCGCACACACTGAACTGCCCCACACCTGACACCAGAGAGAACGAGGTTTGACTGCAGATTTCTGCAGTATTTTCAGAAATGAACTTATAAATATCTCCATGCAAAACATCACCCTGGGAGTACTAGTTAAATCATAGCTACAAATTCTCCTAAACAGGTGAAAAAAACTAAGGACCTCTAGCAGAGATCTGACAACCTTAAAAATAATAACCTTAAATGGACCTTTTTTATCCAAAAGCTGAATCCAAAAGACTTTGCAACAGTAAAGCTTCCCCCCCGCACAATGGAAACCATCATTATCTGACACACATCAATTAAATAACACACCTACTAGACTAATAAAAATTCAGCTTTCTAAACAACAGCTAAAAAGAGAATGTAAAGAAATATTACATGTAATTACTGATATATATATATATATTCTTCCAAACTAGGAAACCCTCACCCAACTGCACTGAAATATGGATTTTAAATCCACCACCACCAGATACTTCAAACTAATTCACTTTCTCACAGAACTAAAGAAGCTCCAAGCCTCTCACCCTTAAAGCTGGCACACTCCTCAATTAAAAGAAAATCATTCCTTTTTATTGCCCCAGTACAATTTCCACACTAACTTTAGAGAAATCCAATGACTTTTATGGGGTTCCAGGAGCTCCCCGTGCAGGTGGGCTGAGACTGGAGGGGTTCAAACCCACTCCTGCCCATCTCACATATCCCTGTGGAGCTGCAGGCAACACGTGGGACTTCACTGCACCACAAAAATCCCTCCCACGAGCCCCCTGCTCCCACCTGTGGCACAGCCCAACATCTGGAGGGGAGGGAGCAGAGCCAAGCACACCAGGTAACCCAGGGGATTTGATCCTGGATGCAATGGCAGCAAAACACCCTCCCGACTTCACTGCCTGGAGTTTCCTCCAGAGGAAGAAACATTTTGGACGCCACAACAGTTCACTTTTGGTTTTAGGCTGAAAGCGAAAGCTCAGCCTCTCCCTCCGCAGCCTCACAGAATGGAAAACAAATAAATAAAAGGTAAAGTGGGATGGTATGTGCTGCCCTTGGGGAGCCTAGAGCTGGGCTCTGGGGAAGGCAAGAAGTCAGCACAGCCCATGGACAGAACCCAGCTCCACAGAGGCAGAACTCTAGGGAAGTGTTTAATAAATACCAGGGAAAAGACAAAGGGTTTAACCTGTATTTCTTGCAGATCAAGGAGCAGCCTCAGAAACTTCAGATGCATATGCTCCACCTGAAGCATTTCTGCAGCACTTGACAAAACCAGCTGGCAGTTCCTTAGCACTGCCCCAGCCTGCCAGAATCCCAAAGGGGCATTGGGCAATTCCCGGGAACTGGAGGAGTGGGCACAGACTTTGAGGCTGCTCACAGGTATCTACACTCCTCCCCAGTCAGCCACTAATCTTCCCCCCAGAACGGCCAAACAAGCTATTTAAAAATACTTCCTCTGTTCCAGCAGAACTGCAAATTCACTGTAAATCCACTGACCACAATTACTAACGATGCTGTTGGAAATGGTCTTTCAAAGCACATTAACCTCTGTTCACTACAGTGTGTGAAAGGCACAAACCAGGGAAGGAATTGCAGGTCTGGAGACGACATTTATTGCCAAAGGGCAGCTTTCACACCTGGGAAGAAGTTCTAGTGAAATTATTTCTGTCTTTGTTAATTAACTCACACATGGACGTTGTTACACAGAACCCAGTCTGCCCAGTTGTCACCTCCACCACGAGCTCCCTCACCATCTCCTGCAGGTGAACATCAGTCCTGCTGCAGAAGGAAGGGATCATCCCTGCAGGAACACGCCATGCCTTTAACACACGGAAAAGTGACCCGACAGTCTCACCCAGACAAATCATTTGCAGGACAGCCCGATGCCAGAAGGCTCTGACCCCAACTCCAGGCCACACGAGGCAAACCTGGCTGGCCATGCCTGAACCACCTGGGCAGCGTGGATTGCACGGGGCCCTCAACGGCACGGGAGAGGAGCTTCCAGAACAGGAACACGTGTCCCGAGCGCACCGTGTGTGCTGAGGAGAGCGGGGTGAGCGCGGGGTCAGCCCCGCCGGGCCGACGACCCCGCAGGGCAGGGACAGACCTGAGCAGGACAGGGCAGGACCGCAAACAGTGGCACCAGGGACGGCACCAGGGACAGACCCCGGGCAGGACTGCAAACAGTGGCACCAGGAATGGCACCAACCTGGGGGGAGCAGCCCCTGCCAGCCCCCTGCCCGGGCTGGGAACAGGCACCCCCAGAGCAGTCCCAGCACACGCAGCCCACCGACCCCACGGGCTGCCTGGGCACAAACCCTGTGCACACACCCATCCACCCACAAGGCTTATCAACTCATACTTCAGAAAAAAAATGTGAAAACTTATGTTTTCAGAACCAAACTAGCCACCAGAGTTGGGAAATTAAAGCTATTTTAATCACTTTAGATCTTCTTCAACTGTAACTAAAAGTCTGAAAAAGCCCTTGGTTTTGAAATGCTGTTATTCAAACACAAATTCAATACTCCCAATGAGAAAGAGCTGCTTCAACACAAACCAGGAACACTCTGGCTACACACAGCAACTCCATGAGTAACTTCCAGGTTCAGCTCTGCTCCCCCCAGGAAACTCAGAGAAAACCCCAGGATTACACTGCAGGGCCAGTTTTAGTCATATCACCAAGAAAAAAGAAGTGGGAAAGCATCTTCTGCTGGGAACCAACCACTTCTCCAGAGCAAACGCCTGAACTCCACAAGACCTTCTCTCACGTTGTGTCAGCTCATAAAACACAAGGAATTACTTGCTATTTCCCTACTCCCCCACTACAGATGCAGATTTGCCACTATAACTCAATATAGAACCAGAGGAGGAGGGAAAGACAAAAGCAAGGAACTGACAAAGTTGTCTTATCACTCTTTATAAGCTCAACGATTCCACACAAGTTTTCTCCCAACTGTTGATATCCAGACCTATCCTTGGATTTCAGGTTTCAAAGCTGAGGCTTCTGGGTTTGATGTTCCACCTCTAAGAAAAGGACACTGGAGATGGGCTGAGAGGGGCAGGTGCTCATAACGAGCCAAACCCCCCAAATCCACACCGCAGCAGCTCCACAACATTTTCGCGGTCACTGGGCTCACTGCACGAGAACACTCCTGGTTTCTGTTTTTCACCATTTTCCCACGTTTTTCTGGAGCCGCAGCTTCCCTGACAACCTGCGCCCGCTTTTTCCCTCGGCAGTGACACGGAGCCTTTATAAAGCCAAACACACCGAAAGTCAGCGGGTTTCGAGGCCCTCGGCCCGCAGCACACGCCGAGTTTTCCCCGAACCCCCCGGTGACTTTCCCCCGTGCACGGCGGCCGCTCCCGGGCCCCCCGAGCGCCTTCCTGCCGCAACTCCCCCTCCCCTGAGCCCGGTTCGGTGTCGCGGGGCCCCGGCCCGGCCCCGGCCGCGGCCCCCCCGTCAACACGGCCCGTAGGTCGGTTCGCCACCCTCCAACAGCCCCGCGGCCCTCGGACCGGCGAACGGGCACGGCCGCACCCCCAGCGGGGCCGGGGGTCAGCGCCGCCGGCCACGGCTCGTCCCGCTCCCCCCCGAGCCCCAGGAGCGGCCCCGGGCCCGGCACAAACACCGCCCGCGCCCGCGGGCCCCGGGCCGAGGGGTCCGTGCCCGCAGCCCCTCGGCCCCGGAGCCCCCCGGGCCCCGCACCCGCCCCGCCCGCGGCCCCGGCCCGCACCAGTTGGTCATGTCGAGGAAGAAGGCGCAGCCGGCGGGGCTGAGCTGGAAGCCGAGCAGGCGCTGGAACTCGCCGATGAGCACGTCCTTGTCGGTGGTGCCGAGGCAGCTGAACTTCT